CCTTAATTTCTTTGAGAAAGAAGAATGAAAGACATGAACATCTTGGATGACATGGGGGCGAGTAAATTATCAGGAAATTTTTATTCTGGAAGTGAACTATTCCTTTAAAGACCTGACAACTTTGAAAGAACGTTCAGCGTTGCTGGAATAATGTTTGTTCATAACTTTGAGAGAACCTTGCCCAAAACCTTTTCGGACATTTCCCTGAAGATGATTGTTGTCCAAATGTCCAAAAACCTGTGTTTTTCCAGACACAACCTCACTAAGAATTACCTGCTATGTTTCAGTCGACACGAAAAATCTAATTCCATCTAATGTTTGATTCCAGTATTTTATTTTCACAAAGCTTAAACCAATTGTATATATATATATATATATATATATATATATATATATATAATGTGTGTGTGTGTGTGTGTGTGTGTGTGTGTGTAGAATAGTGCTATACAGTATCAGCTTTCAAACAACAGTATACTGTATGTGCCATAAAACTATATTTTGTGTAGTATCTTTGCTTCACTGACTTGCATAATGGAAAACCACTGCCGTTTGTTTCGGATGTGTCTCTTTAGATGATTCTGGCGCCACTGAACGGCCCTTTGGCTTGAGCGCCCTTCCCATAATTCCCCCAACAATTTTCTATCCCCGTGTATCGATTCACATTTGGACACTGAAGTACAAAAGGGAGGTAATAAAAACACCATCCTGCGGCAAACTATCAGCCAAGGGTGCTCATGGGAAATCTGAAGTTGAGGCTGTGTATTGTATTCAGATATCCTCCGAAATTGAGCTAGAAACCTCTAAAGAAACTCACTCAAAAATTGCACAAGTAATAAAAGTGTCTGAACACTTTCAGTGCCACGGATCAGAATCGGACACTTTAAATGGGTCGCCTTCCAAGACGTCAGTCGAAGGAATTAAAAGTTCATTGCAGTAGGAAAACATACTGTAACTTTCAGAACTCAAAACATCCTCCCATTTATTTCAAATGAGCTACAAAAATAGCTTTATGATGTCGATTAAATAACAAAACTAACACATGACCACCGACATTTCTCCACAACCCAGTGACGTTGAGTGGATAAAAAGGAAGTTGGATACATATTGTCGCTGATCGAGTGGCTAAAGTTTATTTTTAACAAGTTGTCTGATCACATTAGTCTGTTTTTAACAGTTTCCTCATCAACTGTTTCATGAAAATGTCACAATGTAAAGCAGTTTTGGGTAACACTTTAGAATAGGGAACACTTATTCACTATTAACTACGACTTTTCCCTCAATAAACTCCTAATTTGCTGCTTATTAATAGTTAGTAAGGTAGTTGTTAAGTTTAGGTATTGGGTAGGATTAGGGACGTAGAATAAGGCATTAATATATGTGCTTAATTTGTACTAATAAATGGCTAATATTCTATTAATGTGCATGCTAATAAGCAACTAGTTAAGAGACCCTAAAATAAAGTGTTACCAGTTTTGTTTTAGCGGCTGATGTTGGCCTATAAATACTAATTTCACATGCAAAGTTCATTTACATATAGAGGTCATTCAACTACATTAGCAAAATGGCCTGCTCAGTTCTAGCGGTCAGAAATGGAGTGGAAAATGGTCATGAAAAGCGAAATTATGACTGTTTTGAATGCAAAAACCCTTGACTAATAAGTGGATTATGCAGAAAATTCTGCAAATAATGTACAATATGACTTGTTTAGGTTAACATCAGGGAATTTTGAAAGCAAAATCTGGTGAGGTTTCTTTCCTTTGACTAATGCGAGTTCAGGTTAGTGTTCGCGTAGCTTTAGGTCTGGATTACTTCGCACAGGTCAGCTGTGTGGCGGTTCACCGAGCTAATCTCTACAATGTGTCATATCCATTATAAAAGGTTATCATTATAATGCACTTTACATGTGTTTGTGGCATCAAATCCAAAATCCGTTGAATAAAGAGGCATGAAAAAAACTCAAGATTTTCCCATTTATTTTTGTTTTGTTTTGAAAACTCTATAAATGTATAATAATGTATAATGCAATCCTTCATTAGAATTAGTTTCTGAAATTATATTATTGTCCAATTAAAGGAATAATTCACCTAAAAAACACACTTCTGTCATCATTTACTCAACTTCATGGTGTTCCAAACCTGTTTGACTGGCTTTCTCCTGTAGGACACAAAATAATATGTTTCATACAATGAAACTAGTGTGACTAGCTCAAAAAACACACAATAAAAGTATCATAAGAACTTTCCATTCTGCGTTCAAGTTATAATATATGCACAAAGCATCACATTTTAATGTAGAAATGTTAAAAAAACACACACATCTGAGAGCGATGAGCCCATTCCTTTGATGAGCCTCATTATAAAACTCAAAGCTCTGCTCCATTAAAGCTTATGAGCCACGGTCAGTCCTGTGGTAAAGCATTCAATGAACTTGCATATCTGCTGCTAAGGCTACACTAATATTACTTGATTAGATTAACGAAAATAGTATATTAATGATAACAAAATAACACTGATATGATAACAGAGAGAGTGAGAGAGATTTACCTTAATGATAATTTCAGTGATTTTCCCCTCAGGTTCTTCACTGAGTGACAACTGACTCTGAAAGGACTGCGAGAGAAAAACATGAATAGATGATGCTTCTTATAGGGGTCATAAAATAAGCTTTTCCCCTCTAGTCCACTTATAATGTCTGTAAAGGTTTCTCAGACCCAAAGCAGTCATAATTGTTATGGCGGACGACTCCACATACTGGAACATCGACTACACCGATTGGTTAAAACTTAAGTGGCCTTGATAACATCAGCAGGAAGGAAAGTTGTTTCAAAGTTGTAATAATTATTTTATTGAACTAACATCTACTGATGAATCGTCCATAATAAGAACAGGAAGATGTATTTAGAAAGTTTATCTGGTGAATTTTTATTTAATATCCTTTGACTTAAAATACTTTTTTTTCTGTTAAACATAACATTAGTGCATTAACTTACTGTCTGTAAAGGTTGCTTAGACCAAAAACAGTCATAATTTAGTTCTTAGGATCATTTTTCACACTTTTATGACCCTTTTGCTAGCATCTAAACACCCAACCAATTTGCATAATATTTATTCATGTTTATGCCATCACAATCAGAAATTTTTCAGCCAGTTTTTGCAGGTTAGTTTTAATAAATGCTCTTTTTAGTGTAGGGAAGATTGGAGTTTGTTAAACTCTTTTATTTCATGAAATGACCTAATTAAAGTCCTCGTGCAGTCACTATTGTATCCCTTAAAACTCAACTTTGATAATCAAATTGACATATTAAATTTTTTTTCTGTGAAAATATGTTCTTAATGCCTTAAAATGGCTTAAATATAACTCTACACCCCCTGCCTCATTTAGTATATGCGGCTCTATGAATATGCAAATTAGTCCCCACCTCCACTCAATCACACCAGCTCAACTACTTCCTTCGCTTTCCCTCAGTTAACTGAAGTAGTAAAGGCTACATAATGGATAGTGGCAAAATTGTATTCATCTTTAATTGTTTTGTCTTTAAGCATATTAAAAACACCAGATAAACAACATTAAAAACTTGATTTTCACCACAGGCCGTGCCGGGGGTAATGCATTACAAGTAACACAAGTTACGTAATCAGACTACTTTTCAAAGTAACTAGTAATGTAACGCATTACTTTTTAATTTACATTTAAGTTACTTTTTCAAATAAGTGACGCCAGTTGCTTTGTTGTCCCATTCACTGACTGACAGCTCTTCTGTACTCATGTTGCGAGAAATTGGGAGTAAGTGCAGAGGCGCTGTGTGAACATGATGCTTACTGTAGCTCTAGACTAAATGTGAACATGCATTTACTCATCTCACTTGCACGAAAAACAGATTCAGTGTTCCTCAAAATGGATAAAAACAGTGGAATGCAAACCTGCAATAATCAAATATATTAAATAACACAAATATCCTTTATGTATTTAATCCCATTTTATTAACTAGTGTCTTTGCTGCTGACCTTCAATGATCCAATTCAACCATATTAATAAGCAAAAATTACTTGAGATAAAAATTACATATGTGAAGGTTATTTTATCGCTGAAGAGTGTTGAGCTTACTTCTCCTGCTTCCTATGCTTCATGCAATCCAGAAAGGCTGAGGCTTATTTCACTTTTGGTATGGAAGGGCTTTTACATTTGCCAAATACAGAACTTTTTATATTAAAAACAAGCAAGCCCAGCCCAGATGAGAAAAAGTAACGCAAAAGTAACGTAACACATTACTTTCTAAGTAATGCAATTAGTTACTTTTTTTAGGGAGTAGCGCAATACTGTAATGCATTACTTTTAAAAGTAACCTTCCCCAACACTGACCACAGGGGTCTTTAACACTGACCTGTTTTGTGGTTGTAATTGTTTGAATAAAGTCTTCAGTGTTTGTATCACCTCTTTCCTGACGCTGCTGTTTTTCTCGGGGCTGATGGCGGCATGCGCTCCGCTCTGACTGGCTTGTTTGGCCTGTGCGATGAGGACTTTGAGTTGCTGGACGTTGTTGAGCAGCGTATTGGCCATCTCTTCCAGGTAAAGCCACGTGCGCTGCTCGGCCATCTCCAGCCCGTTCATGAGCGGCCCCGCCGGAAAGGGTTTAGACTGCAACACCGCCAGCGCAGGAAGGGTGGCCAACACTGAGGAGAAACATACATTCGAGATGAAGTGATGAAAGACCTCTGAGTGATTAAACGTTCCTCTGGGACGTGATTTTGTAGAGGTGAACCGGCGTTCTAACAGGTATGACTTTGACGAGTACATTTACAGTCCGTCCTCATCTGATCTCCCATTAACCCTGACCCACATTTCATTCGAAAAGCTTTTTGCGCTAAAAAAAGACCAAACGGATTCGGAAATGTGGGCCGGACGGACAGGAAAGGACACTCTCAGTCTCGGACTCCACCCAGACGAACACAATTTTATGTCGACTACACTTGAATCTCAATGCCGTCTAGGAGAAACAACTGATCTCATTTGTGTTTCTTTGTCTACAGCAGTGGTTCTCAACCCGCGGCCCGTCACAAATTCAAATGCGGCCCACCATGCTGAACACAATTTAAAAAATAACTTTCAGTTTTACAATTCATTTTAGTTTTTACATTAAAGGCACAATATGTAATTTTTGCCGTTAGAGGGCGCGTATTCAAAATACACAAATAGACAAAGGCGTAGTTTGATGACTCCGTGACTGAGTGTGGAATCATGGGAGTTGTGGTCTTCATCCCCACAGCCGATGCAATCCGACGGGACTCAAAAATCATGTTCATGGATGAGCTAATGATTTATTAACATAGCAGAATGAAGCAGGGTGAGGCTGAAAGCCGTCGAAGCGAAACGAAGCCGCTGAACGAGCGCGACACACGGCTCGAAAGCAGCGGAGCTTTTATCATTTTCAGACATGCGCAGACGCAGGCTAATTAACGTTATGCATTTAATGAACACTTACAAGTGCGCACATTGGCAGAATTAAATTCAAATAGTCATCAGCAGCCAATAGTTTGGTAAAATTGAGAAAAAACAAAATGTCCAAAATGCCAGCGAAGAAACACATACAAACAAGAATAGTGGCAGCATCAGCAGTGAAGGTAGGAGAGTGCGGGACTTTCGGCATCAACTTTCAGTTTGCCCCGCCACTCACTTGAAGATGTTCAGACAAAAGGAAACACCAAAACTACGCAGCAATCATTATTTGAACAATACCTAAAACTTGGTATTACAAGCACTTCTTGTGTCTGTTTGCCTCTTTAAGAAGAATTGCTTTATCTATTCCCCAACTGTAAGTTGCTTTGGATAAAAGCGTCTGCAAAATGACTAAATGTAAATGTAAGTCACGCTTCCGTGCGCTTCTTACAGACTGCAATTTACAATCATAACTTCATTGTGCTGTTACTCCTTTCGAGCCGAATTTCACAAAATTGGTCAGCTCCCGACAGCATCAGGTGTTTTATTAATGGTGAGTAGAATTATTTATTTATTCATTTCAATGAATGTAATCGAGTAGATATCATAATATTTAGGCTGTAATATTATAAATCTGGTTGGTTTGTATTGGTGACGTAATATGTAAATGATACGCGTGCGGGTGAGACTTGCACTTGGACCATAGTGCGGCCCAGTGGAAAAAAATGGTTGAGAACCACTGCTCTACAGGATGAAACATACGTGAACGTGGCTCAAAATACAGTATCTGTGTCTGTTTGTATAGTCAAACATCAGTCTGTGTGTTTTAGCTCAAATATCTCCCATAATTCAACAGATCTCACATGTCCTGATGTTAGTAAATTCACTTTATCCACTTATTTCTGAAATAAAAACACATCTGCTAACTCAAACATGGCTTATATCTGATAAAAAAATACCTGGGTATTCATACTAGAGGACTTAAAAAGAATGAAGCGGTTATGAGAGAGAATGTAAATTATAGCTTTTTATTTTTGGCCTTTTTGTCACTTTTATTAATAGGGACAGTGATATAATGAATAGAAGAGGGCAAAACTGAATCGTGAAATGCCACAAGCCCGGATTTTACCAGTTAATTTCTATGTTTTTCCCAATCATTTGTGATGAAGATTATGGTTATAAAAACCTAATATATATATATATATATATATATATATATATGAATTTTATAGAGACTGCTCTCCAGGGTTATTATAAGTGACTAATATACAGTGGTGTGAAAAAGTGTTGGCCCCCTTCCTGATCTTTTTTTTTTTTTGCACATTTGTCACACTGTAATGTTTCAGATCATCAAACAAATTTAAATATTACACAAAGATAATGCAAGTAAATACAAAATGCTGTTTTTAAATAATCATTTCATTTATTAAGGGAAAAAAGCTGTCCAAACCTACGTGGCCCTACGTGAAAAATTAATTGCCCCCTCCTGTTAAATCATGAAAGAACTGTGATTAACCACATTATTTTAGAAAGCTGAGTTAAATTTCACTAGCCACACCCAGGCCTGATTACTGCCAGACCTG